GTCATAATAACATATAAAACTATCTACATATAGTAATTTAGTATTGTTATATACTCATATAATATTTAACTGAATAGGCGTGCAAAACACGTAGGTAATTACTAACAAAATAATCTCATCAAATCAAAATGAAAATTACTCCACTAGGTGAAAATTATTGGTTAATTCACTTATGTATATCCTTCTTGTATGTATTTTTCTGTACACGTACTTATTGTACACATATATTATTGCAGTTGTATATATGCAATTTATATAATCATTGTGAAAAGAAAAGGCTGGTCAAAAGTTTAAAAATATTACCTTGTATTATATAACGCTTTGTGTGCCGTTTAATGAATAAACGAAGCGTTTTGTGGCCCCCCCGCACAGGCGAGCGCTTAATTACGCTTTCCATAACCCTGGATACAATTGTAACCCTCTTTGCCTAAGCAATTGAGGGTTGACTTACCTTCTCCCTCAAATCAGAGTTTGGATGGCTTAATCACAATTAACCTAGGTGTTCAATTTGAGTTAAGAGGTTTGCCCTACACTAACCTAGATAGGAGGCATGGAAAGCCCAAGAAAACCCAGCTCAATTTGAGCCTCTTAAGATAAGGGGGTTTCCCTCTAAGCTAGGTTAGAATAGCACAATAGATTGCCAAGCACACACAATGCACAATCACCATGAAAAATACCTCAAACCTTAAATTAAACACCACCAACACTCAATCATTCAATCCACACAATCAACCACATGGTAGAAGCAGGGTTCAAGAAGGCGCGCCTAGGCGCACGCGTAGACTCAATTAGGCGCTAGGCGGTGGAGGATCGCCTTGACTTGGCCATAGGCGTTGAAAAAGGCACTGGTAGCGCTTAGTAGGTAGGAATAGCGCTTAGTTTGCGCCTAGTGGAGAGAAGGCGTGCCTGGGCGTGCCTGGACAAGCTTAGGCAGTTAAACCCAATACTCTTCGTTTTGTCCTAGAAAATCAGAAACTTGCCTCTTGCCCTAGAAAATAAAAACACGGGAAGTAACATCTGCTGCCGCCTGCCGCCCTAGCGCTCGCCCCATCTTCTACCGCATGCCACCCTTGCTCTCGCCCCATTTGCTGCTCTCTGCCGCAGGAGAAAGTCATCGATCATTCTTCTCGCCTTCACACCGCTCCGCTGCTATATTGGGAAATAAAGTTGAAACTCGTCAATTGCTGCTCCTTCCTTCTCCTCGATACGTAGCACAAGCTTCTTGCCTCTTTAAGCACCTATTAGCAGATAATGGGTCACTATTTGCTTGTTATTTGTTATGTTAAGTGTTTACTGTTAAGAACTAGGCATTGCTAATTTTATATGCACTTTGATTACATGAATTATTCCAGAAAACATGAAATATTTGAGAATTTTTCCATTTATGCTCTAAACGCCTAGGCGCGCCTAGGCTACGCCTAATCGGGCAAGGCGCAAGTCAGGAGCCGAGCGCCTGCCTTACGCCTAGCGCCTTTTAGAACCTTGGGTAGAAGTAAGGGTTCTACAACACCCAAGTGAAAAGGAGAATACTGCATGCTAGAAAAAGTTAGAACACAAAGGAAAAGGGAAAAAACCATCATTGTGATGCCTCAATCCCTCCTTGTGCTTGTAGAGATCCTCTCTTGAAGAGGAACTTCCCAAATCTTAACTTGGAGCAAACCCTAGCCTCTTCTAAATCTTGGTTCATGCCTTTCTCTCTCTAGGTTTTAAGAAGAAGAAGGTTTCTCTCACTTTGGGTTCCCCTTTCTTCCTCCTTTCAACTCTCCTTTTATACACTAGTCGCGCCCAGTTCACGACCATGAACATTTGGCATGGATAGTGAACACAGTCCAAAATGCACCGCTTCAATTGTCGAGTTCGCGGTCCATGGCTTCAGTTCATGGTCTTATGACCGTGAACTGACTTGGCATTAGTAACCTCTGAAAACTCTCTGGACCCCCTTCAGTTCGCGGTTTGTGGTCCAGTTCACGGTCCTAATGACCGTGAACTCACAACTTGGACCGTGAACTGTGGCTGCTTCCTCCTCTTTGCCCGATCCTAGCGCCTTTTCTTCCAATTTTCGACTCCGGGGTTGGTTCCACATGTTAGACTCTGAAACACATTGAAACACAGCAAACCTAGCGTAAAACCACCCTTTTTGAATCTCAAATGCCACAAACTCCAAAGAGAAAAGGGGATAAAAAGTGTACATTTAGACCCGAATCACTCCCCCACACTTAGACGTTTTCTTGTCCCCAAGCAAACCATTTCACACGAGGTAATATCTCAACCTAAACAAAATACATCGGGGACAACTCCAAGGGAACAAAGTGGGGAATCTCAATGGCTATTGGCAATTAAACATGGATTGTTGCAAGCGATACCAGTATCCACCACAAACGACATTTGAGACCACCAAAAACGTGAAAACGAAAATTTCTCACCTTGTTCGTGAATCAATTCAAGTCTCAACAAGATCACTCATCAACCACAACTAACCATGCATAACATTCAAGTCCAAGGATTAAATGAATGAGCAACAAAGGTCCTCACCGGGATATGATATGACATGCAAAATAGGAATGAATCACTCACTCTCTTGACTAGTGGGGTCGGGACCATTTGGTGCAAAAAATGTGCACAATCATCAACATTCGGTCCTATCGTCTCTTTACCATGACGGACAGGAGTGTGCGCGATCCGTCACTGGCCCCCAAATTATGACCCGAGGGGGGTGTTGAAGATGATGGTGTCGGCGGGAAGCTCCCGGCGGCAATGGCAGATGGCGAACCGTTACTCGAGGAAGAAGAAGAGCCAGAGGAGTGCGACTGTTGTGGGTTCGAAGATGGGGAGGAGGACGACGGCGATGGCGGCCGGAGTATGGGAGTCGGCGGCGGCGGTGTGTAGGTGAGGAGTTTCTCCCGTTAGTTTGGAATCCAATCGTATGGGTTCCTAAATTTAATGAATAATAGAGGGTATTTTGGTCTTTTTAGACATAAGGGAAACATGGAAATTTTTAGAAATTGGGCAATCAGTAATTTACCAGGCCAAAGGATTAGTATGTAAATAGCAAAGGTCTGAGTATTGGATTGGAAATAAGTCTTTTGGACTGAAATGTTAAAATCAGAAAGTGGGAATTGCCCTGCTTGACTAAATTCTGCAATTCTGAAAGATTGGGGCCAAATTGGTAATGCTCTGGAATTTCAGGTACCATTATGTAATTTGCCATTTTGGGGCAAAAAGGTAATTTTCCAAAATTTCATGGCGAATTCTAGTAAAGATTAATTGGAGGAGAAATCAACTTTATTAAAGGTCATTTGATTAGTTATGCTTAGAGAAAAGTGAGTTAAGTTTTGCCTAACTACTTAATAGGAGGAAATGCAAAAGGAGGTAAAGCACGAGGATCTCAAACGTGGAGTTTCGGACGATGACATGGATCAACCGACAATTAAGAAGGGTCGTATATTCGAGGTGAGTGTAAAGGGGTTAAATTCTATGCCTTACAATATTTCAATTTTTGAGATTGACTACTATGTGTCATACTTGCCTTTGTGTGTTTATAAGATGCATTTGATCGCGTGTGATTTATGCTTCCAATTATACATATTATAAGTGCATGTTTTATTTACAAGTTGAAGTTTAAGAACACGTTTTCTTTTAAGAAGTAATTCTTCTTCAAGAAGGTGAAACCATTTTAAGAGTTTTAGTCACTAGCGCCAGTCCGTTGCCTTTGTGATTTTGCGATAGAGCAGCAGTTATGCTCTTGAGACTTTTAAGATGAGAAGCAGTTATGCTCTTGAGATATTTTAAGATGAGAAGCAGTTATGCTCTTGAGAATTGTGGAAGAAGAGCCTTCCACGATAAGTTTAAGTTTAAGGAAATTCTGGATGGCTTATCATACGTATGAGTTTTTTTTTTTTTTTTGTCATAGATATGGTAAAAATAGATATTACAAGTTACTTAACAGCCAAACGCGGCAGTCGGTCGCTAGCCGAACTGCCGATGAGAGGGCATTAGAAGCCACTAAATGGGCAGCCCTATTGTACAACCTAGGTGTAAAAGTACAAGAAATACTAGAGAAACCAGAAGCCGCTAAGCAGACCTCCTCGAGCAGCGCCCCACCAGCACCATGCGCGACATCCTTCTCCCGAACTCGACGAGTCAGCAGTTGGGAATCCCCACAAAAATTCACAACAAAGAACCCATGCGTTAAACACCAATCGATTGCATCCCTTAAAGCTAAAACTTCCATGATAAAGGGATCTGTTATACCTGGGTAATACTTGCCAATGGCAAAGAGCAGTTCGCCTGTAGGAGAGAATCCGGCAAAACCGATTCCACCGCCTACTCCTTTTTTCCAAGACCCATCAAATCGAACAAGTACTCCCCCGGCGGGACAGGCTCCATCACGGGCAGAGGCAGCTGGCTGAGTTTGACGGAGGGCCGAGTCAGCTCGCGACCTCGACGCCTCTTGATGTAATGTCAACGGAGCTGTGGCTTGAACCCATTCAGCAACCTGAGACCTGTACTGACGAAGCATAGCACTACCACGGTACTTTATATGTTTATGAATGGACCAACATCTTGCCTTCCAAACTCGCCAACAAATGAAGATAATATCTGCAATGTGAACTTTAGAAAGATGGCGGGAAAAGAATAAATGGTTCCAACAATCAGCATGAGAGAGACCCTCAAGGGACCTGCGCAAGATTCCCCAACCAGCCAACTCCCATAATTCCCTGGCAACTCTGCAAGAAAAGAAGGAGTGCATAATTGATTCTGATCCCTGGGAGCAAACCGGGCATGTTGCATCCACAACCAGTCTTTTGAACATAAGGACAGCGCGAACTGGGAGAAATCCGCGCACCATTCTCCAACAGAAAAACTTTAATTTGGGCGGCAGCGGGAGACTCCAAAGAAGCTTCCAGAACCTGCTGTCAAAAGGAAGAGGAGAAGGTGGATGATCAATTTTCAGTTCATTAGACAGAACATGGTACCTTGACTTAACCGAGTACTCGCCATTAGCCGCATAATGCCAAATCAAACGGTCCGGCAGCAGTCGAAAACAAAGGGGGATGGAGAGTATCAACTCTACAGACTCGCTGGTGAACAGTGAGACTGATACCCGCAACAAGCACGGGGCACCAACTGATACCCGCAAGAAGAGTAGGAGAGGAGGGAGGGTCAGAAGGGAGCCACTTATCTGTTAATATGCGGATGCGAACACCGTCACCAACACGCCACCGAAGTCCGCGTAGAAGGAGATCACGGCCTGCTAACAATCCTTGCCAAGCCCAAGAGGGTCTAGATCCCACCTTTGCCTCTAGGAAGGAAGAATTTGGGTGATAACGAGCTCGATACAGGTGAGCTAATGTGGAAGCCGGGTTCTGCAGTACTCTCCAGGCTTGCTTCGCCAACAGAGCTATGTTAAACCTCTCAAAGTCTCGGAACCCGAGACCCCCTTCAAATTTGCTGTAGCAAACTTCTTGCCAGGAGAGCCAGTGAATACCATCTTCTTTATCCTGATCCGCCCACCAGAACCGGGATAGCTGCCCATTCAACCTGCGACAAGTGAAAGAGGGAAGCCGAAACACAGACATAGTATAAATCGAAGAAGCAGAACCTATAGACTTAATCACTACTTCCTTCGCGGCTAAAGACATGGCTTTGGATTTCCAAGAACGAACCCTAGCAGCAAGTCCCTCCTCAACGAACCGAAAAGTCTGGGTTTTAGAACGCTGAATGTGAACAGGCAGCCCTAAATATTTTTCCTGTATGGTGGATTCCGCAATACCTAAGCAAGCACAAAGAGCAGACCTCTCCTGATCACTTACATTAGCACTCACACACAAAGAAGATTTAAGTAAATTGACTTTCTGCCCACTAACTTCCTCTAAGGAATTCAAAAGTGACAACAATGCAGTACACTCCGGAATAGACGCACGCAAAAAGAGGTAAGTATCATCCGCAAACAGCAAATGAGACGTTAGTGGAGCATGCCGATGAACACGAAGACCATGAAGTCGAGCAGCATTGATCTCCGCCCCTAATTTAGCAGATAAGGCTTCAGTGTATAAAGCATAGAGAAGGGGGGATAACGGATCACCTTGGCGAAGTTCCCGTTGAGGTTTGAAGTATCCATGAGATCGCCCATTGATCAGGACTGAGAAGCTAACAGTGGAGATGCAAGTCTTCACCCAATGCAGCCACTCCGAGCAAAATCCTAGGCTGTCCATGATCTGTAAGAGGAAAGGCCATTCGACGCGGTCGTATGCCTTCTCCATGTCCAGTTTTACAGCCATCCATTTCTCACGCCCCTGCACTTTAGTTTTCAGGAATTGCATAACTTCTTGCCCGATTAAAATATTATCAGAGATCACCCGACCTCTAACAAACCCATTTTGAGAAGAACTAACAATTTGAGGAAGGATAATCCCTAGCCTAGCCGCCATGATCTTAGCCAAAATTTTATAAAAAACCTGACATAACCCAATCGGTCTAAGTTGGCGCATCGAATCAGCATTAGGTACCTTTGGCAGCAGTGAAATCAGGGTATGATTGAAATTGTGTAGCAGCCTACCAGTCCGGAAAAAGGAATGCACCGCAGCACTAATGTCTGGTCCCACTACATCCCAATGAGCGTGGAAGAACCCGGCGGTGAAGCCATCAGATCCGGGTGCTTGTGACGCCCCGATGCGAAACACGGCTTCCTTGATCTCCAAATCAGTAACCGGAGCAACTAGCATAGCATTCATCTGGCTCGTGACCTTCCGCTGCAAGCCTAAGTCTGCGACAAACTGAGCTGAATCCACATTCGAAGAAGTGAATAATACCTGGAAATAGGGGACTGCAATACTCCCCATACCCTCCTCATCGTGGTGGATCACCCCCGTGTCATCTTTTAGCCCCGACAGCCGGTTGAAACGTCTTCATTGAAGCACTGCACGATGAAACAAATTCATGTTGGAGTCCCCCTCTCTCAGCCACCCAACCCGAGACTTCTGTCGCCAAAAGAGTTCCTCCTGAACATACACCGCTGCCAACTCTCTCTCGAGGTTCTGAATCACGGCCCAATCCACGGTAACCTCCCCTCTGGCCTCCTCAAACGCATCCTTCAGCTCTCTTATTTTCCTGGCTGAATTGGACGTCCCTAACCGCGCCCACTCAACCAGATCATGCCTTACCAGTTTAAGTAAGGAATAGACTTTAAATTGAATGGTGCCCCGAACCTGCTTCACCCATGCAGCTTTGATTACTTCCAATGATTCGGGGTTGGTGATCCAGCGACAGTCAAATTGAAACCGCGTATGAGGAAGAGGACCCTGTTTGATGAGCTGCACAAGTAACATTCTATGGTCAGAACCCAAATCAGTAAGATGGATGACCTTAATATCAGGCCACTCTGCAAGCGCCGCCGCGTCACCAAGGCATCGGTCTAGCCTCTCCATAATATGTGCACTACCCGATCTCCGGTTGGTCCACGTGAATGGTGACCCCTGGAAACCTAAGTCTAAAAGGTTAGCATGGGTGATGAAGGCATTAAGTTGATCCAAAGCACCAAACGAAGGGGGAATCCCTCCTAACTTTTCTGAAGAGGACAACAAATAGTTAAAATCGCCAACCACAAACACAGGAAGGGACACCGACGAGACGAAATTAAGAATTCCATTAAACTGCTGCTGGCGACAGGAAACATCACATGACATATGTACAAAAAGGATGACCAGACGCCCTACTAAAGGTAAACTAACCTCTACAAAGCAAAGAAAGGAGGACAAGTGATGAACTGTACAGACTACTTGATCCAACCAAGCTACAACTAAACCTCCACTACCATTCGACGCACTAAAGCAACGAACACATCGAAACCCAAGACTCGAGAACTTTGACAACACAAACTCATCGTCCCTCTTTGTTTCACTAAGAAATACCAATGAAGGACGAAACCGTGCAATTGCTCCACCAAGTGAGGGAACGGTCAAGGGGGAGCCCATCCCTCGACAGTTCCACACCATAAAACTCATGGATCCGCTGGGGGCCAGTTGAGGCTGGCGCCCGCCACCTTGTCAAATACTGGAGCAGAGGAAGAGTCCGAAATCGACCCAAATCGGAGACGCTTTGCTGCCGGTTGCAGAGAAACAAGGGAAGAAGCCACGAGGGGAGGATTGCTGGTCCCATCTGTGATCTGAACATCCCTGGCCAGAGGAGCAGGAGTATCAGCCGAGTGAGGTAGGAGCGAGAGGGACTGAAATCGAGACCCCATGATCCCCACTCCTGGACGCCGGGAATCTTCCCAAGTACCCCTTGGCCCGAAAGCAGTATCATCAGCCCTGTGAGCAAGAGACAAAGGCGGTGCTGGGACACGGAAAGTACCCCCCCGACGCGGCTTGCCCTGGTTGCGGAAGTTCGCCCGGATCCAGGTGTATCGGCGGCGGCGCCTAGCAAGCATCACTTCAGTAACTTGGGGACCCGACTCAGTGGCCATGGTGAATTTGCCATACTTCTCCGGCGAAGCTCCAAGTTCTTCCTTACGAGGACAGGCATCCTTCACATGCCCAATCACACCACAAAGGAAGCAGAAGTGAGGAACTAATTCGAACTTGATTTTAGCAGAGAAGGTACCTTTCTGTGGGTCAATATGCCCAGCGGAGATCGAGTCCGGCAATGGTTCCAACAGATTCAGCATAGGCTCTGCCCTGACGTACAACCCACCCGAGACATCAGACCGGTGCAGAGTAGGGGTGGCGGTTTCCCCCAATGCAGAGCCCAAACGGAGAGCCATTTTGCTGGTGAAACAATCGAAGGGCACCCCCCAGATCTGAACAGCAAGGGGAGCCCGTCGCAGGTTTCCAATCACTTCCTCCGATGGCGCAGCCCAGCGCTGTAAGGTCAGCATATACTTGTCAAAGATCCATGGGCCAGCCGAAACCGCCGCCTGCAAATCCGACTGAAGAGAGAAGACGAACTGCAGCAGCCCGCCTTCCAATTGAGAAATCGTCAGATCCCCTTCAAACCGCCAAACCCTAGCGAGGACCGTCCTTAGCGTGTGCAGCGGAGGCGAAGCTCCAATCACCAGTCCAAGCAGTGTCAAATCGATGCGCGCCACTCCAGCCGCCATGTCGTCATCGTTGAATTGGACTACAACCGCCATGATTGCCGAGATAGGACCTGCGGAAACAGTAATCAAACCACTGGATACGAGAACAAAGGGACAGATGATGTTCCCAGACTCGAGTAGAGGGGAATTTATAGACTCCAGAGCCCCAGAGATCGGGCTCCGGCACCGCACGACGGCGGAACGCCCGGATCGGCGCATGCGCACGATGGCACTCGAATCCAGTTTGCGTTTTTTGATTTTGAAGCTTAAACTTTCATACGTATGAGTTGGCAACCAGACTATCTAGTGAGGGATCCCAGTGTCAGTCAAATATCTAAGTTAAGATTTGAGCTTTAAGAATACAGTTTTAAGAGTTAAGACTTTTAATAGTGGAAGTACAAAATAACTTCCACGAAGTTAAGTAAAGTGATCAATTATTAATAAGATGTTAAACATAAGGGCGTAGACTGACCCCATCTCACTCACCAGTTTGAGAGCTAGAGGAGCAGTTAGTGACCAGCGAGTTCGAGGGCAGCCAGCTAGATGAGAGTAGTGTAAGCGTCACGGAGGATGCTTAGTCAGGGTTTTCAGTAGCAACAACATTAGAGATTATAGTTATTTACATTTATGATGATGAGTATAGATTGGAGATCACTTGGAGATTTTAAGTATTGAGTTTGCCCATGCGTTAGGGCGTTGCTTTAAACTACAAGTGTGTGTTTTCAGTATTTTATTTATGAAAATTTTTCCTGCTGCAGTTTAAGATTTGAATATTTTATTTATCAAGGGCATTTTAGTAAAAGTAGTACCCGGCCGGGTTAGGGTGCTACATGATCCCTGGAGGTGGAAGGAACGGCTCCGGATGATGATGATGTTGGTGCTGGTGTAGGTGCGGGACGTTGAAGTGCAGGACGCCGGTGGTGGTCGGGAGCTCGAGCAGGTGGTTGTTCTGGAGTAGGGACCTGACTCGTTCTAACTACAGCATCCCGATCGACGGCCAAGTATAACCGCCGATCGGTTGTACCATAGGGCAAGCAAGCAATAAAAATTTATCATACCACGAGAATCTAGGCTTACCCTACTTCAGGTTTAGGTTTCGTTAAACTAACTAACCTAGCTTGAAACGACCTGATCCTTTCCAAAACCAAACCATAACTCAAACCACATATCGGTTTCTCCGGAAGAACCCAAAAAAGGTTTACAAGTCAAAACCAAAAATCAAGAACAACAATATTTAAGATTCTCAAGTGAAATGCCCTAAACACTTGGGCGACCTCAATCCAGAGCAACAAAGGTTCGTCGCAGCTGCTCTCCTCGGGTAACCCCTCTTGATGAGTGCATCATCTTCCCCTCTCTGCACCTGGTGAGTGAGAAGGGGTCAGTCTCGTCATTATTTCCTAAGGTCCTTCCCCTAAGAAACTCCTTACTAAACACATTATTCGGGTTCTTGACTTAGACGTTGATTTTTGGTTTTGACTTGTAAACCTGTTTTGGGTTGCTCCG